TGCGCTAGCCGTCCCTAATATCGCAGTGAAAGACTAGTGGGAAGGCAGCTAGTTATGACCACCCTCCGCCAACTCTTTTACCAACGAATAGTGGGATTGATCGTTACATTATAACGCCCCAACGGCTGAAAGGGCGAGCATGTTTGGTGGGACTCGTAGATTACGAGTCGAGCGCCCTAACCACCTGGCCTTTTTACATTAGTCGGAAGCGCTTCGTTTTATTAAAGTAAACAATGAGTATGTTTATAACAGTCTCAAGCCTTGCCTTATTATTATCGAAACAAATGGCTATGAATACTTTACCGAAACCTGGACAACAGTAATGAATGATGTACTGAGTATGTCATAGGGTAGTTTTAAAATTAATTCAAGCGCCTTCATTTTATCTCCCTGAAGAATTTCTTTAAGTCCTTCACTTTCCACCATTGAATAAATCTAGTTTTACTAAAGTGCATTAACTGGAAAATAATTTGTGCAACTTATAGCGCATTAATTGTAAACTGCCATGTTGAAGATTCATCGTTTCTCGAGTTCGCTGTTGTACTTTCTAGCGTTGTAAGTCTCCAGATATACCGCTGTGCCACTGGGGGGAGGGGCTTTTAAGTGGTTATTGCCAGTAAATTTATAAACTTTACGTACATTTAGGAAATAAACATATACCTTAATAATACGAAGTGTAAATTATCGTGCACATTCTTCAAATGAACATGTAGATTTAATATATAAACAGGCGATAAATTAAATGAAGAGATTATATATATTTAGAAATGTCCAAAATAAAACACAACAGAAGAACTACTATAAGCAGAGCCTCTTTATTCAACTTCAATACTTCTATCGGAGAATATGTTATATAAATTTTACATTGCTGTTCTTATGACGAGCTATTATACACATTTCACGGGGTAACAAGACTTACAAGGATTCAAAGCTCGCTGAGAACACTAGAATGGAAACCTACAAGTATTACAGAGACTGTATTAAAATTCTTCCTCTCTCTCTCTTGTTTTAAGTTGTTGTGTAAAGTTTCATGTAGTATAGTGGTTGACACGTAGGTACAACGTAAAGTTTATAAGAATCGTTTGTACTCAGATACCAGACATTTCACGTATTCTCAGACAAGGAAAAAAGAAAAAGGGGCCTGAGGCTTTCGAGAATATTTCAATATTGTTTTAATATTCTTTACATCTTACATAACACCTTCTGCTTTTCTCGCCAAATATTTTATACTCCAACAAAGAGCGTATAATTTTCAAATTAAACTATTTACTTAAACCTATTACGTACTGTGTAAAACCTAGTTTTTAGCATGCATTAAGCTTGTAAACACAATAGTGGTATCGACAAGTAATGAATACTCCAAACCATATAATTCATATACTTCATTATCATAAATATTACACACCTGCATTCTTGAAGTTATTTATCTTTATTCAAACTATATGAAACTTCCTAAATAATTATGCCAGTATAAGCACTGCCATATCTAATACACACAAGTTTTCTACTTTAAACCTGTGGTTTATGACACCATTTACTGAACACTGGATAATTATTACAGCTACACTTAATGAATATCAATGTCAGATAATATACATATATTTTTCTTCAGAAAAAACAAACAAAAAACAACAACACATCACACAACAGAAGCCTCCTGATTACCACGCTACATGCTATCGAATAAACCACTAAAATTCGACACAAAATCACTGTAAGCCACACCTAGACCATTAGGTTTAAGTTTAACAACCGCTGACGATGTGCTGGAAGTGTATCCATATAAGCGATGATAAAGTTTCCATTAAAGATAGTGTTCATCATCAAACACTTGATTCGTACCAGTATCTAATTACTATCATGGACAGAGCAGTATAATGTCTTCTAGTACAAGCCCCAATTTCAATTTTCCCGTTATATTTATTGTAATCGTGACCTTCTACAGTATATGATAAAACCATTTCCACTATACCAGATTCAGTTTACCGACAGTGTGATAATAACACATATACATCAGTATGTACATTTGTTATTTTGTGGTGTGTGTGTAACGGTAGTGGAAACAACAGTATAAAGTGACCATAAGAAAAAACCATACGACATCTATCAAGACGTGCTCTATTATAACTATAATAACAGTTATATCTGACCGTAACACCATAATTAATTAATAATAATAATAAATAAACATTAGGTACGTATATCTACTGGGCCCCTGATAATAACACCTGAACAATTCTCCATTCTTACGTATTTTAAATAAACTTTGGAAATGGTTATTGTAAATGAAGAACACAAATCATCTACCCGTTTGAACTACTTAGATAAATCGTTGACATACATTATCAAAAAAAAGGAAATTATAATTCGATATTTTGTTGAATAAATAACGTTTATGAAGAGTTTTCAACTCTACGACACCTGACAATGTGCAAGACAACTTCTAACACACGACACTTTCCTCCTACTTATACCTGTTTAATTTAACCCACGGCTATTCTCTTAACCTACGTATCCTATAGAATTTATTAAACTTTTTTGTGATTGTCCATTTTTCTTTCCTTCAATTATCAAAGCACTGAAAACAAAAACGGAAATTATAAGACTGAAGTAATTCCCCCCATTGACAAAAGGGGGGAAGGACTGAAACTTAAATCTGTAAGTTTGTAAAGCCATTACGTTAAATACACAAATGACTAAACTGCTAAAAACATTTTAAAAGATAAACCAAGGCTAAAAGTATGTAGAACATGGCCCTACCAGAATAACCTTACTTCCTACTCCACTTTTATTTAGGGTTAACTCATCACATCTAGAGCGTTACCGCAATTAAAAGAATTACTAACATAAATGTTTCATGTATAATCATATTTATTCATATATATATATATATATATATATATATATACACTAAGCGAAATACATAGCTGGGTGTTACATTACTTTTACGAAACTGCTAAAAACATCTTACATGATAAATTAAGATTGAAAGTTTGTAGGACATGCCTATATGGGAGGAAAGCTTGTGATAAACTCCTCTAAGGCGTGAAATAATAAATAAAGATATGGTGAGATGCAGGATTACTTCACAAGAAATAAATAAAATACTTCAGGTGTTTTTATATCAAACGTGATACTGCACGAAAATTACCACCTTTCGCTAATACGTAGCATATTAACAACAACAGAAAAAAAAAGAGACAGAAACTGGAAGTCATGCCCTCATCCTGTATCCATTAATCTACAAATAATGTCATTAACACCACGTGTTTTATGTTCAGTCGTTGGAATTATAGCCCATATTTTACCAAGCACAATAATACAATTCTGACCACCCACAAAACTATCGTGTGCGCGTTAAGAGAAACAGACTGCTGGTTGATCAATAGGATACAGTTGCTTTACAGATCGATGAGACCTCAAAATATATTTTGTTTTCGGATGAATCCTTAAAGCTAACATTCATTAAATAAAATACTAAGAGTCAAGGTTATAATAAATATCCTTACTTCCTACTCCACTTTTATTTAGGGTTAACTCATCACGTCTAGAGCGTTACTGCAATTAAAAGAATTACTAACATAAATGTTTAAATGTTTCATGTATAATCATATTTATTTATATATATACACTAAGCGAAATACATAGCTGGGTGTTACATTACTTTTATATTATTTCTAATTGGTCATTTTCATGGTTTACAATTATTTCCGATAAAGTACATAATTCATTTTCACACTTTGTATGCAGATACTCACAAGTACACATATGTACATAAAAATAACGTAATAATGCGTGAACATTCTTAATGGCGGGATTCCCAGCAATTTGTCCATTCAACAGTAACAGTCCTTTAACTTATGATGAAGAAAACAAATTAGTAAATAGCCTTCACGAGTTACTACAGAGAAATCTATCAATATTTATGTACGGACACCGGCGAAAACATTACTCCACTCAGAAGTAAAAAGTTAAAAATAACGACATTGCTAAATTACATAAGAGCACTACTACACGTCATAAAAAGTTCAAGATCATAACTTTAAATGATAAAGTTCAAAACGTAAATTTGATGCGCTTAAACACAATGTAGCTGTATACTTAAATAATTCCTTTGAATGTAAAAGTGTGTTTGCTATGCACATCACATCCACTGTTGCAAGTTCGATTAGGACATAGCAATTTGCCTCGAGTAACTGAATAATAAATTACCTTATAACAGTAAGCAAGAATAGTATAATAAAAACCAAAAAGCTGGTTAGTAGTTGGTCAGTGAAAATTTTAAATATAAAGAGTGGTTTGTGAATTTTAAGGTTTTTCAAGAGAATAATACCGAGATTCAAAACGTTTTGATTACGTGAAATAAAATAGTAGTAACAAAAATATTACCTGATGTCGTTCTTTTCATACCACAAAATAACAGGAAAATACACTTTCAATTTAAATCACATCATCATCATCATCACAACGTAATGCGCACAAAAATTAACACAAGTTACACTACTTCTTTCAGTATAAACTGGCTTGCAGATACGAATAAAACATATTTACATTGCACCATTAAAACCTTATTAACACAAATGGTAAAACACGGGAGTATAGTGTATTACCATAATAACCTTGCTGCGCTTACTGAAACACCCAAGCTTTCACTGGATCATCAAACCTTGTTTTCAGAGTAACACAAGCTGTCACACTATCATCATAACCTTTATCTTCAAAGTAATAAAAACTGTTAGAGTATCATCATAACCTTGTCTTCAGAGTAAAAGAGTGTTACAGTATTATTATAACTCGTCTTCAGAGTAACACAAACTGTAACAGTATCATTAAAGCCTTGTCTTCAGAGTAACACAAGCTGTCACACTATCATCATAACCTTGTCTTCAAAGTAATAAAAACCGTTAGAGTATCATCATAACCTTGTCTTCAAAGTAATAAAAACTGTTAGAGTATCATCATAACCTTGTCTTCAGAGTAAAAGAATATTACAGTATTATTATAATTCATCTTCAGAGTAACACAAACTGTAACAGTATCATTAAAGCCTTGTCTTCAGAGTCACACAAGCTGTCACAGTATCATCATAACCTGATCTTCAAGTAACACAGTGACAACTTAGTTATGAAACCCATCAAATAATGATCAATATCTTTCAGTAATCCACTAATTTGATTTTTTTTGTCCAATACTGAACTTTTCTACAGAATAAATAATTACAGCACATTGAAAACAAAGCCTCTATGAAGGTTTATGACTTAAACGTCTAACCTTCTGGATGCCCCCTCTTCTTAGAAATTGAATGACCTCTAAATAGACAACAACCACATGTTATAGTTTACATACATGTGACCATGATGAAATAGGAGATATCCAGAAGCCTGGTGTAAGTGATCTACAATAATTGGTCTATGATAAACTAATGTGTGTGAGGTGAAGGAGTGCTAATCTAATTACATCAAATTATTAAACGAAAAAAAGTCAAAGAACAACAGTAGGAATAATAGAAGTGTTCCAGTCAGTCAGGTTGCTATTGAAGATGCTTGTTATATGCCATGATAGCATTTTAAATTAACTGGTACAATGGTGAGCAACTCACAGTCCTTTAGGGTCATCCTGCATCTTAAAAAAAAGAAAGAAACTTATCACAACAGCTCACATAGTTTGCAAGATTTAATGCTATTTGTAAATGATGGCAGCAAGCTGAGTATTGGTATATTAATTCTAGGAAATTTAAACATACACTTTGATTACTTATTTTTGTATACCACACCCTTAACCATTAGTAGAGAGTTACTATACCTTTAATATGTTTAGAATGTAAAAATCTTCTTTTTAATTATGTTATATTCTTAAAATCACTAAAAGAGATAAAAAAGAGCTTAGTTGGATTTTATTTGATCCAAAAATAATATATTTTAAAAACATTCTTAAAAATTTATCATAATAGGGATTAGCTTCACAGTCTGCTTATCCATAGAACTTCAAGGACAAAAACACAATTTATTTTCTACCTAAGACATGATACATCATAGAGATATATGCCCACTCAGAATACACAAGATTATCTTGGACCAACTTAACTTGACATACTGGTTAACTTTAGAGCACCTTCACTTTACTTAATGATTCATCATAAAGGATTTTCGTATTGTTTGGTATTAAGTCATCTTTACCACTGGTTGATGTTAGAGCACCTTTACCAGACACATTAGTTACCGTCATTTGTATGAGATAGTCCTAAAGCATCATTTTTAGATATATGATTTGACCCCTAGAGCACCTTCATTGGACATATCTGTTAATTCTAGAACACTTTCATTTGACATACTGGTTCATCATATTGATTGACCAAAGAGCACCTTCCCTATCTACTGCTAACCCTAGAGCACTAACAGTAGATGTTAGTATTGATTGGCCTTAGAACACATTCATTCTTTGAATTTTTTCATATCATGGTTCATTTTTGACTATTTTAATTATAGTGCTTTATCTGCGAGTCAGAACCACTATTTACGTAGTAACACAGTTTGATCAGTTGATTACAGCACTTTCTGAACATCATTGGAATGTAATCTAAATGAAAGCCACATATGTATCCCTCAAGGTCCACAAGACAAATGCTAAGCATTATACATTTGAATAAAAATGATCTATATATACATATATATATATGATAAAAGTTTTCAGTGTTGTCAAGAGATTGCATTTCGATAAAAAAAACTTATTCTTCTGAACATTTGTATTATTTAGCTGTTTACAATCTTAAGTGCAATAAATAACTTACATTTAATTTTAGTAGCTAAACCTTTTGGAAGGTACTATAAATGAAACTATCACAGCAAGATACAATATAAACTGATGGAAATTAACACTTCATATATATCCTAAATACTTAAAGACGGTTTCTTATAGCACATCGTAAATTCTCTCACATCAGTTTTGGTTGTTATAATGAATTGTGTAAAAAATACATTGATGGTTTTTGTGTTATCAAAAAACAACAATATGAAAAAAGTCCAAGATCTTAACCCTTCAACTGCAGTTGACATCATATGATGCAAGCATTTTGTGTGCACAATATTTTGAATGGCCTGTCACAAAAATTCTCGAATCTTTGTGCATGGGGTGGTAGGCAGATTTACACAAGTTGCAAAAGAAGGATTAGTCACATACAATTTTGATGAAATATTTCAAGGAGGAAGAAAACTTTCTCATTTACAAAGTACTTTTTATTGAACTTATGCTCAACACACCAAATTAAGATATCCAACCAATCTAAGGTAACTAATTTCTTGTGAGGATAATAAAATGCCAAAGTATGAGTCTGTTTTGTCTATACATACACTCTTAATATCAACTAACCTTTTATTTTACTCTTGGAAAATGCTAAAGCCTTTATCAAGTGCAGTTTATGCTGAATGTCACAAGAATTCTGAACTTCTGATTCCAGTAAAAGCAAGGGTGGTCAGATGGCAAATGATTAATGAGTTCTTTATAACTATAATGTTAGTGTTTGCATTTATAAGCCTGAGCACTAGTGAATGCTTCTTGAAGAATAAGATGTAATCCATGCTTGGAAAAAAAAAGCAATTCAAAGGAGAAATTAATCTGAATCTATGAGAAGCAGAAAAATTAAGGTCTTGTCAACTTTTAAGACTAAGTACTTAGCACAAGATTTATTTTCACTAATTCTTTATAGCTAGGATTACTACATACTTTTTTTTATCAATGAAACAAATTCTAGAATAATTTGGACAAAATTCTTCTTTCTTTCAAGAACTCCACTTTTTTAAAATTGAAAATTGCAACTAGTAATAAAATCTACTTTAATAAGATCATGCAAAAAAAAAACTGGCTGTAGCTACTGTATAACTTAAAGAAGGGAGAAATGGTAGTTTGTCATTCACAGCTTAAAACACAAAATACTGTTTCATAGAATTGCTAGTATATTTTTAAATGCATAACTTTCAAAATAAATAGCTATAACAATAATTATCAAAAGTATGTTTAGACATGTACCTAATTCTATGACTTCCAAATGTTAAGAATTCAAAGATCATGGTATTTTAAAAAAGTGAATTAAATAATTCTAAGTCACCTACTGATTTTAAGTTACATAAGTTTAAGAACCACTGTCAAAATTCTTTATCAATAATTTGGGAAAAAAAAATGGTAGAATGGATCATCAAAAATTAATTTCAAAAGTCCAAAAAATGACAAAGTTTAAGTACTTTTATAATCTGGAATAAAGATTGATCTCAAAAACACATTCCTACTTTGTCAGAAGTTATTCTCACATGGACATCACTTTTATCTAATATTACCATATATATATAACTTTATTCATATGTAGTTTTTATAAAGTTCTGGTGTGTTATCTTTTACTTTTTCAATAATGTCTATGGCATAAATTTTTTACTTTTAACCACAAGTCGTGGGAAAGTCATATGCACAGTTAGATGTCTCTTTTGTCTTTCTCTTATTAACATACCTTTCATATTATCACCTGAAAAGTTGCATACTCAACAAACAATTATACCTATTCATATCCATGGTTGGCCCTTGTGGTGAGCAACATGTGCTCCAGCACAGAGCAGCCACCCTGAGGGGTGCCAAAACAAACACTGTGATTAGCAGTTCTTGTGAACTTTATAGAGTCACCAAATAGAAAGTTTGCACGTGCTATGATTTTGCCTAGGGCTAGCTCTGTTCATAGTCCACTAATACTTGTGTCATAAAAGATCTTGTTTTTGAGTTATCTAATAAAAGCTCTTTCAGTTTGAAAGTAATCAATCAAATCTCTTTTGGTTTGGGGGAAGGTTTAGAAAATAAAATATCCTCCTGAATATGTCCAGTATTTACCCCTTTGCTTTGAATTTTTAAATAAGGACTCAAATAACAGAAAACTCCCAAAATGTTGATATTTAAAATTAATGGTTCTTCATTTTCTGATTATTTTGAATAATTATCCTCCATGTCTATATAAGATTTATCCAGCACTTCATCTGTATTACTGTTTTCTGATGAAGTTACGCTTTACCATAAGTAAAAAAGACTGCTGAGAGAACTTGTATAATAAAGCTAAGACTTGTATTTTCTATTATCAACAATTCCTTGTTTTTGAAATTAAAGCACAGATAACATCTCAATTTCTACAATAACACTGCCTATTGCTACAATGTTATGACAACTTGTAATATAAAACTTTTATATAACATACTGAAATAACAAACTTCACAGAAGGTTCATTCAAAACATATCCCAGAAAACAAGTTTCCTGTCTACACAGTCTTAATTAGATACATTCAATATAGCTATCACTAGGAGCTGTATAGTCACTTAACACTATACCGATGAGATAATGTATGCACATTTTTCAGTGTGTGGCCTTACATCCTTTTCCTCTACTAAAAATGAAGTCATGATAACTTTACAAACACAAAGTTACTTAGAAAGTTATCAAGCTATACACAATTAAAATAAGTTATGTTTAAAAATAATAAGACTGATATATGAATTAAAACTATACAAAATCAAGCCTAAAGAAATTTATGAAAGTAAAAAAAAATGATACACAACTAAGACAGATGACTGTTAATAATAATGATAAATAAGTTCAAGGCTTATAAATTCTGTTAAGTGTACTGAAACAAGGAATTAAATATAAGGTTGAATTTTTGAAGACTATGTCTCCATTTCCTATTTAAGTGCCTTCAATCATAAGGTTTAAACTTTTTCTCTTGTAAGTCTTCAAATATGAAAAGCAGATAATTTATATTATAAATACTACTATGCTAAACATTATATTTTGTAATTAGTTCATTTTCATATATGCTGTACTTTAAGCCTACAGAATGCACGAGAAATTACATCTCCAACAAACATACAATTGTTTTGGTGCTCATAACTTTGCTAAGATGTAAACATTCATCAACAGTGTTATCTTAGACATTAAAGAGGGGCTTGAGAACTGTCTGAAAGTGTGTGGAGTAAATGCTTTGCTAGACAGAGAGAGATCTGAGAAAATGAAAGCAGATTAAGACATGTTACTTTTAATGCCCAGAAAGGTTATGATTATTAGAGGCCACAAGTGCATAGGAATGATTCTGCGAAAAAAGTAAACAATGATCCTTTGAATAAAAATGTAATAAATTAGCAATGGTAACAAGACAAAATTGTTAAATCATTAATTTGTCTAAAAAGCAAGTAAGCAATGATACAAAATATACTGACTACAAGAATACTATTCCTTTAAGAAGCTTAAAAAAATACTTCTTGAACTGAACAGTGAAAAGTCACTAAGTTGTGTACAGTGTTAAAAAACAAATAAAAAAATGTACACTTTATCTGGAATGTGTCAATATGATTTCTCTAATTCATCATCCTACCTATCAATTCAAGCTGATCCACACAGGATGACTAGGTGGTCAACTACCTACATGTAATTATACAAGCAAATTAAATAAATATATTTAACAAAAAACCTACTAATATGCAGTAAAAGTAGTTAAACTTCAAAAGCTTTATTCAAGTTCCTTGACCCATTCATCACAATTCAAGGATGCGAGTCTGGCTCATTTTCTTCCTTTCTTTCAATTTTTCATATGCCTCAATGTCCAAACACCCTTTCTGAGGTCCACGAGTGCCACTCATTAAGCTGATACTCAGGCTTTGGACACCCTTGGCAATACGGGATAGTGGTGAAACAACTAGATCCTTCTTGACAAATATTGGTGAGGAAAGGGGGTTCTGCAGGTTGAGGGGTGTAAGCGAAAAGTCCTGGATGGCACTTTCACTCTGTGAAGGCTTTATCTTAGAAGTATTCTCATTTTGGGAGATATCTGGCTGGAGTAACAGATGGGATACTTCATTGGTTGATGAAGCTATATTGGTCATTTTGTTGTCAATCACATCAGAAGATTTTGACAACATCCTACACAGAGAAATATCTTGCTGAACTGAGGATAATGACTTGCTGGCCACTTCATTTGACATCTTATATACAGAGATATCTTGCTGAACTGAAGGTAATGACTTGCTTATGTCTTCACTTACCTGAATTTGTGGTGTAACAGAGCTCAAAGACTGACAAGAGGAAGAGTATTCTTGACTATCTTGAATAAAAGATGAATTTTCTGACTCCTTCCTGTAAAGATGTCGCAGGGAAGCCTTTCTCATTGCATCCAATACAAAATCATCCACATCAACATTGCAATGATATTCCATTGAACTAAAGTGGTCTTCTATAAATTGCAACTTAGATGGTTGGATACTTTCTGTTTTCAAGGTGGGGCTCGTGGCCAAAATACCACAGCTTTTCAACAAGGAGTCTTGACGTTGTTTCTCAATCTCTTGGTCCAAGCTTTCAGATGCTAAAAGATCTTGTTCTTCCAGATCACTGCATTCTGAGAAGTCAGAACTGACATATGTGCCAAGACTGGTATTACTCTGTTTCTTCTGACGCCTTAGAGAATCCTCTTCAGAGTCATCTTCTGAACTATCCATCTGAAATACGGGTCGTTGCCATTGTCTTTGCTGGAGACAAGAGTACAGATAACTTTATTAAACTGATTATACTTATACCTGATAAGATAATGTTAAGCTTCAATATAATCCATTTACGATTAATGTTAAAACCTGTTTCTGATCAAAATGGTTTTAATTAGTATACATTATACATAATTACATACTAAAAATCACAGAGTATTAAGTAAAAGACATTTGATTATTTTCTATTTTATTTTATTCATTTTTTGTTTAAATAGTTTTATTAAAAACTGGATGTGCAGTAAGAAAACAAAACTATAGCAGTACATTTTAAATTTCTTAGAACTTTAATGAAGAATGATTTTTTAAAGAGCAATTGGCAGTAAAAAGAATTTTTGCAATTATGTTATTACTTAAAAGACTATAATTCAGATATGAAACTGAAGTTATATGGCCCAAAATAAAATTTTGTCAGCTAATTTTTGAAAATATCTATATAATGATATTCAAATCATTATAGTTTTCATTTTCAATTTTTTAAAAATCTGACTTAATAGCAACGTTGTTCATGAAGCCTCTGAGAAGTAGCACATTGATATAACATTAACATCAACAGACAATTGTAAATTAGTTGATGCTACTTAATTTCCAGAACACTGTAGAAGCCAAAATTTCCTCTTTTAATATTTTCTTTTATTTAATTATCTTAACTATCATCTATTAGTCTTCTATGTCTATAACTACACTCAAAATTTTATCAAAATATTTTTTTTATCAGAGTCACAGAGTAGGCTGTAAAAAAATAAAAACTATTCTGTACTCTAAAATGTATTTAAACTGTTTGTTAGAATCACATAAATTATTTAATAACAACAGGAATAACACATTTTTCTGAAATATTTATCTTAATGTTACACACAAAATGAAGAACCATCTTTTTAAAAAATCAAGTATGCCTCTAAGAAATAAAAAAAGAGTGCAAGCTTTACTAATGATACATTTCATGCTAAACAGCTATGTTTGCCTTCATGCTACAGATAATTCTTAAGAATTACTAAAAAGATAAGAATGTGTTTATCAGGAATACAATTTGACAAGATGTTGTATAAAATAAATGTTCATTCAACTTAGTGCAATTACTTTAAGACTAATCTGTACAAAATATTAGTTCTTCATATTTATTCACTTAAAATTTTCTTTGAATGTCATTATAAACTTTTCACCACCTAACAACTCTTTCCTGAAAGTCACTTGAGCAAGTAGTAATTTATTTCCACTCTTTTATAGTTAATGTCAATACAACACAGTGAGCTTCTAGGGGAAAAAAAAGGGTAACAAGAGAAGCTCACAGATATGAAGTTCTTGCAGGCATTGAAAACTGCTCAAAAATTATATTGCTCATCTATAAGATATTGTTATCATAACTGTCAAAAAATAAATTGAAATGAGTATTGATGCTTTGGCACTATCAATATTATTTTAGTCTTCATAAAAGTGAAACTCATCACTCTTCTTTTTATCTCATTACTTAAAACACTCATTACCTTATAACCTTTACTATACTGCAATAAGTAAGATGAACATTCACTGAATCCTTATTACTATCAATGTAGTATTGATGCTTTGGCACTATCAATATTATTTTAGTCTTCATAAAAGTGAAACTCATCACTCTTCTTTTTATCTCATTACTTAAAACACTCATTACCTTATAACCTTTACTATACTGCAATAAGTAAGATGAACATTCACTGAATCCTTATTACTATCAATCTAGTATTGATCTATTCAGCACAAATTAGTCTAGGTGTCATGAGTGGATAAAAAAATATCCTAGCATGTTGACAAGTGTAATAAAAGTTTCAATCCTCATCCAAAATATATTTTAGTTAACATCCTACATGGAATCTCAGCCATACCTCTCTGAATACCTATGAACAACTGTTAACTAAGATCTTCAAAGCTCCTGCAACACTATCTTCAATAACAAAAAAGTCATGCTGCTAAGGGGAAAAATATATTTATGCCACTCAACAAAGGGTTTGTCATGGTTCTTGCTTTGGACCAACACTACTCTTCAAGAACACATACCTTGATATATACGAGTGTCTAATATTTTACTCATTTTTCTCTACATAATTTCAACTTTCTTACACTTAAAATTATGAAGTTGAAACAGGGAAGAATGCAGCTATAAATGAGACCTGGTTTATGAAGGACATATAAAATTCAGAGTTAACATGGTGCTTGAGTTAAATAAATGTATTTTCTTGTTTTCTGTTAAGTTATCTGAAGAGGAAAGGAGACCATATTTGACTGAAATATTTTGCCTTGCTGATAGGTCAGAGTTGGACAAAGAGTTCTGATGAAGAAGGCTTATTTCAGTTTCTCATTATTTTTTAGTGTCTTGTAGAATCAAGCTCATCATCTATTCCCCACCCCAACATCTATACAGTATAATAAAATACTCTACCCAACAATCTATTTAACAAGTTCATATAACACAACACCTTGTCTATCACTGTTGGGCTTGTTACCATAGCTCTGTTCGGTGAACTTATATACCATATCACTTTCTACATACTGATTTACATTTCCAGTAATTTAGTAGATCTTGTTCTCTGCCAGATGTACATAGCTGTGGAAAGTCTGTGTGTTTAGTTTACACAAATTTTTACTATGCATATGCTTAGCACTTGCTAAACCTGTTTAAGCTTACCTGATGTTTTATCATAGAAGAAAATTTCTGTGCCTTTCAAACAGATACAATTTAAAATGAAAACATTTTAAGGAATAAAAATAATGTCTAAAGAAACTATATAAAAATTCCCAGATTATGGTTAGTTTTTAAGGCTTCTACACTATCCATTAGATTCCTTTGTTCATTCCTACAGGAGTTCTGTCTAGTCAGTTTTCTACAAAACCATAAATTACTGCTAAAACCACTTTATTTACTCTACACTGATATAAGTAGTTTATAATGTGTTATATTCAAGAACATTTAAAAGTTGCCTATAGTTATTCTGAAAGCTGTGCTTCATTAGTAATTATTCAGACCACATGATTTATCACATCAGAAAATGGTTGGAGTAAAGCCTGTTGTAATAAAATCACTAACACAGAAGGAAAACAGTATGAAAAACATGACATGGATAATCATATTTTTGAGTTAACCCTCTCGCTACGAGTCTTCCTTTGGGCAGGGGTCAAAGGGCATATCATCACGTTTGTGGGCTTACATTAAATACTTCATTGATCTACCATTTTATGAATGTTTGTCAATAAGGTTGGTATCACATTGTAGATTATAATTAAAATTTCAGTATTATACATTAATAATTTCTTTATTTAAAACTGATTATTTTAAAACAAAATTCCTAAATATCAATTTTTTTTGTGTCACATGGTTTTGTTCAATACAGCTTGGTTCAAATTATATATTTGTGATGTCCAAATACAAAGTCTATAGTTTCTTATGAATTAGAAACTCAAATTACTGATATTGACAAGCAAGAATATAAAATAAGAACCTCCTATCTTTTCAATTTGTTGAGATATCGTTACATTTAGTGAATCAAACACAGTGGCCCCACCCACCTCTTACGTACTCTGTCAATGACATGTGAATAACAAATTGAATGCTCAGAATGTACTTCTGGTGTTTTCTCAGTCTCTAAAAGGTGGGAAGTTCTCAATATTATTTGTTTGTCTTGAATTGCCAAAGGAAGTTGTAAGTAAAAATGTTGTCTGAAAAAACTTTTTTTTTTTTATTCAACTACAGTTCAGCTAGTAAGCTTGATAAGTTACAGTGGAATTCTGCAATACTGATAGAGTAATTTATAATATTTGGTTATTTCAAAATGCATATATAAAACCTAAAAAAATTTTGTTTTACATTCTCCACATGGAAAATTTGACAAGGCTTAGCAAATTACAGCAAGCAGGCAAACAAGTACAAAGTTTGTAGGTAGAAAAAAATCAGTTTTCTTTATTTACTGTTCTATGTTTTAAGAAAAATAACTGAAATTTAAGAACTAATTTGTAAATAGTAATAATATATGTATATGCATATGTAATGGATTATAACTGAAATATAACCGTAGTTTACAAAATACTGGTTCACTAAAACAAACCAAAGACAAGTTACTTTGTAAAGGCCAGTTTTATACTATTGGATATGATAACATAACTGCACGTATGCTGTATCATTGCAACTTGTGTAGTGTTAGTTAGACATGGCCGAAAGATTAATGAAACAAAATAAAAATATATATATATAGATGTATAATGTTATGAGATTTAATCTCTTTAGACTAAACATTTGTGGTTTCTTGTTATAACTTGTAAAAAAGTGTGATTTATTTAACATTTTCTTACATTAAAAATATATTTTCTGATAGGTACTTACACACAAAGCTATCTTGATCTTCTTTCTGCCCCTAAATATTGATAAAAACTTTTATCACCCAGCGGACCAGTCTATATACCCCACAAATTTCATGCCACTTTTGGACATGTATATAGCATGTGACCACCCTCCACAATTGTACTGCACCACCTATATTGGTGCAGCTAGCTTCCTATGATTTTCCCATTCAATCTCACTTTTGAGGATTGGTAGGATCTAAGACAAATACCACCAGCTGTGGGAGGAAGGAGACATAAGTATCTACAGGAAATACATTTTCAGTGTAAGAAAATGTTACCTTCTCTCACACAAAGCTAGAATCCCACATTGAAAAGATGAAGGGGTTGACATAGGTGCCTAACAGTGAAACCAAGTGGAAAGTGACTGCCTAGAAATAAATGGTGTGCTCAGAGATGAAACCCAAGCACACATGTGGGGCACCACACTACTTCTGGAACAGGTATGCTCTTTGACCCATAAGAAGGAAATGAACCTGTCATGGGCAGAAATAAAGGATGTGCACAAGTTTAATTTCTTCCAAGAGGTACAATCCATAGTAAAATATGGTGTGAGTTCAAATCATTCTCCATTGCACAAACCAGACCAGAAAACAGCTGGCTCCCATAGGTGAAGAGCCGCTCTATGAAACAAAAATGCAAAGTGAACTCGATACCCAGATGAGGAGAAACAGCAAGTCCAGAGACAGTTCATTAAAATATAATGATGAAGAAAAACAACTAGCCTTGGCTATGTATCTACCCAACCTCAACCGGACAAACAAGGTTCCACAATCCATTCTCAGCATTAGGAGGTTGAGCATCACTCAGATGAAAAGGAAATTAAAGTAATATAAACACTGTGACTAGGGCATGTAGACCATGTGATATATATTCACCAACCCAAACTGTAAGTAAACACGGTGTCATACGTCAAACAACCAGACTTATGAAGAGGAAGCTAGCATTCGGCTGCAACCAGACAGACTCCCAAAACCACCATAGGAGCAAGAAGTACAACAAACCAAACCTGGTATTAGGGGGTCATGTCATTATTTGTAATTCACTCAACCGTAAATGCAGAGAAGACACATCCTGCTCCTGAAATAAAGAGGAGGATGTGAAACATTTGCTCAACCATAGAAATAGTGTACATACATCCTGTTGCTGGTATTATGAGGCAGACCAAGTCCTCCAAACTCAACTGCAGGAGCAGGGAAGGAAACCTCCTGTAACCAGAATTAACAAGAAGAGGGGCCTCTATTGCACTCAACCGTGGGAACAGGACGGTGTCATCCAGAACCTGTTATTACGAGGAGGATCCCGTGTAGACTTGTACTGCTACAACTGACTATCAGTCCACCTGGGAATAAGCATCCAGGGAAAGGGAAGGAGGGATCCCAGCTTTGCCCTCCTTTCATTGAGTGGATAAATGTGTGGTTGTATTGTAAGGTAAATTTATAATTCACACTCAGGAGGAAGCCTCTTTGTTCCACCACTCCAGTGACTGGGAACTGGTAAGAACTCCCATGCTCCACTTCGAGAAAAAGGGGGAGTCCAGGGGAACATTACACTAGAGAAAGTGCAATGGGTGTCCACAGTTCCTGTCCCTGATTTATGCAATCAAAGGATCAGCAAGGATGGGCAGGAATCCTCTTTTACTTTACTCATGACAGTCCATGAGTAATGATCCACCACTGAGTTAAACTTATGGAAACCTATAGACACATAAGTATATACCATTAAGCATGCCACTTGTAATCTTGTGGAACACCCCATTTCTATAGTGAGTGTTATAGCTCTACTATCATATAATATGGGTTTGAGTAAAAGCACACTTGACCAGATAACACTCGCCACAGAGTGGGATCCTATGAGTAGCAGTAAAAGAGGCTCCCTGAAAATGAAACATAAGTGAAATGTTGTAAAAAAAATACCCAAGTCAAAGGCAAACAGATGTGTGTAGAATTGTCACAGGTGGGAGATAATATCCATCTGAGAAAGATACAGCCAGATAGTACAGATAATGAAGGAATAGGGATTATTCCACATTCCGGGCCTGAAGGATTTCTTACAACAGATGGTGAAGACAAGCATCCAAAGACATGGTGATATCACAAATTTGAAGAGAAAAAACACTGAGGAGATGGTGACCTTTCATTGATAAGTCTGAATATGCCAGCCTAAGGAGTTGACAAACCAAATCAGTTAGTATAACAGGGAACAGATCACAGGAAACAGAAGGGTTCCAGAGAATAAAGTCAGGAACGTGAACCCCAAAAATGGAGGCAGTTCATGCCACATAACACCATATAGAGCAAACCTGTAAAGGAAGCTGATCGAGATCGGAATGGTACATGTGAGATCGTACATGTGAGAGATAGAAGGTAATGAAATGGGTGTGAAAGCCAAATGACCTTCCAGGGCAACAGAGGTTTTAGGGAGGAAAGACCAGTCTGGATATATGATGACATAAGAGAAATGGTAGAGGATTCTGGTATTATTAATAGCATAAAAATCCGATCGATGACATCTGCAAGCTAGGAGGAAAAGGAAACACGTAATATACCACATACCTGATTAACCAGCTGTAAAAAAAGGTGTAGACAGACCAAAATAAGAATTTACTAGAAAAAGTGAATCCAATTTTCATCTCCTTGATTGTATTCATCATCAGAAACATTGTCAGGCCGAAAATGAGATGAAATCATTGGCTGAACATAGGAATCTAACTCCCAACAAATCATGGCCTGTAACTCCTCAGCAGATAAAGTCAAACCCAATGCCTGGGTAGGTATGCCAGAAGTGTTGTCTACTGTAACAGGAATTTCCATTGTTGGTACATTGAATTGGGAAGTCATCCTAAGTTACAATATAATTCAGTAACAATAAACAAATGCAAAAAAAAATTGAAAGTAAACACAGTAAAAGATAACTGTTGAAAAAGGTATTGAAATGTCAATTAAGTACAGTTGTAAACAGCAGTCACATGCAAAAAAACACATATCTAAATGATGCTGTGCCAATCAAGAAAGTGAGGATAGAGCTGGAACCTCAGAGGAAGTTAGCTGCGCCAATATATGTGGCACAATACCATTGGTAGAGGGTGGTCACATGCTATATATATGTTTAAAAGTGGCATGAAATTTGTGGGATATATATAGACTGGTGCACTGAGCATTAAAATGTTTTAGCAACACTTAGAGAACAGAAAGAAGATTGAGATAGCTTTGTATGAGCAGAAGTAAGACCGTATCAGAAAATAATTAAGTACAATTACAAACTAATGATATGCTGGTATATTTTTTTATACAATATTAAAGTTTAGATTAAAAATTATATCTAAAACACAAGTACTTACTAATGCATCAATGATAGTTGGGCCAGTACCTTGAACAGAACTTCCATTCCCTGGCCGTTTCCCAAGCACTCGCACATTTCGAATAGGGTTAAGTTTAGCGAATTGAGAGGTCACATTACTTAGAGCTCGAGAACCAACATTTACAAAAGACATTAACTGCCCCTCAGAAATGTTACGTGGCATTGATGAAAATGATGGAAGTTCTCGATAGAATGTGCTAAGTCCTCCATGCTGACGACCACCACGATATTCACTAGACCCACCTTGGGCCAAGGGCATTTTACTCTTCCTTCTCTCTAATCTTCCCTCAAAAAATGGAACATTTAGCATCTTAACACTCAAAGCAACCTTGAAAGTTTCACAAATTGCCTTCAGTGATTCTGAAACAGAAACAAAAACAAAATGACCACTAAAAACTTTTTTTATTACTTCCTACGTGTTACAATTACAGAATAACTTTCACTGTATTTCTGTTCAGTGATGGTACAATAAAAAAACGTTTTTTTTAGTTATATAACTAATGCAGAAAATATCTTTAAAAGAAATAACAATAAATTGGAAATGTACAATAAAGTAATCATATACCCACCCAATGCATCTTCTTCAGTTTTGATGGGAACAGCAACATTGTTAAAAAAACGAGTCTTTGATGACCGGAACATGTGAAAGTAACCAGACTGCCCATTGATTAGATAATGCAACCGAATGCACTGATATTTCGACTTAAAAAGGGATGGTTCTGGGCCTGGAGAAGAAAGAATGCACAACACATATTTTATAACTATGTTTGAACTAAACCTACAAACAGTAACAAATTAGTTGGAGCACTAAGTAACAATTGTTTTTGAAAGACCCCCCCCTCTGATATATAAATTTACAAGTTCTTGAGGCTCTTTAGAGCATAAAAACTTTGTTCTTTCAATTACTAGAGCCATTAAAGTTCATAAATTCTTTCAAATTGCTTAGGGTTTGGAGCTGATATAAAAGGTGACAAGCAACATTAGCTACGTCCTCGAAAAGTAACTCTAAAGCCATCAAAAACCATACTGTGTATGGCTAATAAGATATTTTGTAAGAAATCTGTGTTCAATGTTCATTTTTTCTTTAATCAAATCAAGTAGAAAATTGAATGCAAAGGAACTTCCTTGCTGTTTATAATTATATGAACATCAACTTATATTTTGGTAAGGCTTATTTATTTTAGCTACTGAAGAGCAGTGATGGAGTTAGCCCATTCATGTAGTTAAATAAACAATTTATGTAGAAACTGATAAATGGAAGTATGGTTTCTAAGCTGTTGATAACAACCAAAGCTGAAATTTTCATTAACATATTTCACATTGAACCGAAATATTACTTTTGCATTAAATCCTGAAATAATGGAAATTATATTCTAATTGTGTCAGTGGCCTCTAAGGGCCACTTTTCCACTAGGTAGTGCTGCTTAGCATAAAGGATAATCCTACTATTTATCTTAAAGCTTAAAACACCCATCTGTGTAGTAATTCAACTGAACACTACCGTCAGATGGTGTTACTTAATATACTTAACATCATAAAAGTTGATCACTAAAACAAAATACAATCTCTATTGTTACTCAAGTGTTTTACAATTATTATGGAGTTTGTACATGTTTCTAAACTTATGATTTTTAGTAGCCATATAATATTCAATTGTTACTATGTAGTTAAATAGTATGGTTATATACATAAATACACAGAATATTATGCTGTGTACAGTGAATAGCACTGTCACTTTCCAGTTTTTTTGTAATGATTATCTTTATACAGTACATAATTCTGGACTTTTGTGTGCAATGAAATCTTTATTATTTTGTTACTAATTTACAGGTTATGTCTGAACTGTAACTGGACTTATCAATGTTTGCTTCAAACCTTTGATGAGTTTAAGCTAAATGGGTTTTGGACAGAAGACACAAAAAAATTTCTTGATAGACTAGTTGAAACAGATATAAAGTATACACACACAGAGTAAAACTCCTTGATAATACAGGATTCTGAAAATTATAATTCGTATAAGAAATTTGAATAGCATTTCTTCTGTTAGCAAATGTGCTGGAAATACAAGTACTGGATGAAATTATTAAAAATGGTATTCAGAGGGTAATACAAAAAAACTAATTTGGGTAGCAGTAATCAAGCACAAACAAAACAAGTTTCTAAGTAGCAGAAAACTTGTTGAGAGTTTGAGCTGAGAGTTGTAATGGGTACTCAAAGCAAAAAAAACTAATAGACACTTTTGATAAAAAAACTAACGTTATATTTATGTGCATCTACTTTGAATTGGATTTTGGGTAAGATAAAATAACAAGAGACAAGATGTAGAGAAAAAATCTAGGCAAAATTTTCGTTTTGTTTTGTTTATATTATTATTATTTCTGGCTAAACTTTTTCATGATATGATTTTTTGAATTTGGGTACCAAAGATTTTGTAACCAAAAGGGACAACAACTCCCATATTTAGCCTGAATTACCCTAAGTAAAGTGGTAATTTGATGAGTACTTGGTACATGATTTAGCTGTTTTAAGACATGACTGTGACATGGCTTACTTTAGACAGCTGTATTATTTGTGAAATATATGTGCTTTATATTTTCAAAGAACTTTCATTACAGTGTAAAATAGGATATATTATGATGACATATACATGAACATTGATCATTCACCATAATGTTATTATAAAAGTTGGTTAGAAAATATTATTTCTGCTGAAGAAACAAAAATTAATACTGCTCAAGTTTTATACTATAAAATGAGCTATAACTAGAATATTTCAATAGTTGTATGGTATTAGTCCTGTGAATGTTAATTTTTACAATCCACTTTCTTGTTAATAAAGTAAAAGCCAAAACATACCGTTTAATTTATTACACTATTCATATATTGTTATTGTAACTATGTAATGGGGGAAGTCTTTTTACGAAAGCCACAACTTCAGAACAGGTTAATAAACTCACATTACTTTCTTCACTATTTTATCATTTGTATTTTTTCATTTCAAAGAAAACCATTGCAACAGAGCTGTGAGATTAGTAAAACTTGCTCACGTCTTGCCATAAAAGAAACTATATAAAATTCCCAGATTGGTAGTTTATTCATGAGTCTTCTACAAGTTCCATTAGATTACTTAGTTCATCCCTAAAGGATCACTGGCTAGCCAATATATCGAGAAACTAGAAATTACTATACAAACCACTTTATTTGCTCTATATTGATGTAAGCAGTTTATAACATGTTCTATCTAGTTGTATTTAATTGTTGGACAAAGCAGCTTTCAAAGATAGGCTTCATTAGCAATTTTTCCACAACATTCTGTGACATAATAAAAGGGTGGTAATGAAGAACTATAGTAATAAAATCATTAACAAAGAAGGAAAATTACTTGAGAAATAAAACTTGAATAATTATATTCTCAAGGAATGATGGCTTATTAGGAAATATAAACCTATAGTGTGGTATAGGCAGAAAAATCATAAAATAATCAATAAATGCAGTGTTTATGAACTTCAAAACTTCACACAAATGAGAGCTGGAACATTTATTTTCCTTTTTTCTTTGCAAGTTATACTAAATAAATGTTACAAAATGACATAAATTCTAAAATATTTTTGAGTTAAAACACTGTTGAAAGAAGAATGAGAATTATTATTTTTACTTAATTTTTAAGCTTTCTTATGCAGGTGTGTACTCAACATTTGAAAGGTGCTTACTGGTTGCAATAGGATTACTAATTTATCTGCAATAGCCCACCATGCAAGATCAAACAAACAATGGAATAATTTTAAAATGATGAGAAAATGAAAGAAAAAAAAAGTCTTTTAGATACACATTACTGATAACACACCCATTCAACACAGCACAGATGTCAGCAAAATTTGGATACTCCCTTTGTGAAATATTTAAACAGTTAACTATAGTTATAATGTGGGAAAATCTATATGAGTGGACTTCTATAATTATATAGGCTACTAACCATGACAGTTAATAAAGGTATGTTAGAAGAATGTGAAAATAAGTTATTAAAATAAAACAATTATATTAGTAGTTTAAAAATCAAATAACCTTACCTTTCCAATCAAAATACTGTTAAGATCATAAGGGACAACTAATCCAACTGGTGGTATGAGTTGTATTATATCAATATAATTAAAAGAGTAATGTGTGAGTGTGTAAGAAGTTTTTAAACTTCTTTGAACTATGCAAAAATGAAATAAGGGTAAAGAAATATAAACATTACCTTATGTTTAAGGAAATTGTGGGTGCAGATAGTAATATGCATTGTAAATGGAAAGGTATTTGGGAAATAGATCTGTTATCCCCCAGAGCCACATCTCAGACAGCAGTGTTTATGTATTAAGATTTTGTGTGTGAATTTCTTTGTTTCTTTATAGACACTTAAAGTACCAGTACCATCACCCTATTGAGTTTTAATACTACCACCCCATACCCAAGTTTTGAAAGCATTGCTAGAGTTGGTGTTTCTTACTAGATAAGTCAACTGATTTGTCATTTTTGATTGGTTCATTTGGCTAAAAATGTTTTTATACTAGACGTATTTGGTGGGTATCAAATGTTGTGGAATAGATTTAATCCACTTAGGTTTAACCTCACATTCACCGAGATGCCTCACACAGCCACCAGATTCATTCAGAATTCTACAAACTCAACCTCATATACGAGTAGTCTAGGCAGGTCACCTAAGTGTTTTAATTATTTTAAATACACAGCACTACCTTCAGATTTTATAAATTTGATGCAAATACAAAATATAAACAATGTTCTGTATGCGAAGCACATGTTTTCCCCCTTGTCATGTGATACAAAAAACCTAAGGTATTGCAAAACTAGACCATTTTGGGCAGCATGTTGTAATTTTATCCACATGATTTATACCCTATTTATGCAAACTATTTTTAGTTTTATCATATACTCAAAACAATTCCCATTAAATTGTATTAATTAAAACTAAAACTATCTGTTAATTAGTACATACTACATCCTTTTCAGACAAAAATCCAAGAAGATTAGGTAACCATGACAGAACTAATCATGTTAAGAAATACTAGAATGATTATTAATGTGCCTAATGCTTTATGATATTAGTGATATACTTATTGTTTTAGTAGTAGTTATTGGTTGACATTTTCTAATATAATTAGTTCTGACAATGTAAGAAAAAAATTAAATATTGTTTGTCTTTTCCATAATAGTTTCAATAATACAATAGCTGTACAGATGAATTATTGAAAAAAAAAAAGATTTTGTGCACTGCATATCTGTAAAATGGTGTATAGGACAACTCATCAAATTGGATGATTGATATATGGCTAGCTGAATGAAATTAATATTTTCTTGATGAGATTACTTTTAACCTTCCCAAGTAATATGGCATCATCAGTAACTGCATAATAAAAACTTTTAGCTCTTGAACACTATTATTTTTTAGCACTGTGAGTAAAACCTCATACATTTGCACCGACTACTCAACCTTGTATTGTCTCTGACACAAAACACTATGTCCGGAGAAATAAAATGAAAATATTCAATTAATGTATAAATATTTAAGTATGAAAGGACAAATATAAAACAATTATGCTACAACATTTAAATAATCTACAAAATCACATTAATAAATCAATTCACAAAATTATCTCATTAACATGTCATAAGGACTATATTTGAAAAAAAAAGACAACAATTACTTCATTCAAAAGTTGACTTTATAAAAACAAGATAAGTGTTTTGATACTCCTATTACGTTCAGAAGTTTGGTACATCTGTTATGTTTCAGGTTAAACTGACCACACACATAATTCCAAGCAAATGAAAAAGACAGGAAATGATACATTTTTTTTAAGATAGCTTTTTCCTTTTTTTCACATAAAATATCAGAAATTAATATAAACTCAAGGATATATTTTGTTGTATCAAAATGCCATGAAAATCAGTACTGGGTCAAATAAACCCCAACTATAAAAAAGGTTAATTAAAAAACTACCAATTCTTATTTTTAATATCTTCATGATAAAATTTCAAGATGGAAAATTACCCACATTAAAAAAAAAGGAATTAATACATAATTTTATTTCTCTATGATAAAATTCTAAGACAATATATGCAATTAAGAAAAAAAGATAAACCTACCTAATTCAATTTTAACTAAATCTTCTAACAAAACTCTCTGGTACTTAGTAATTCTGTCAGTTTCATCATCATACCTGTATGAAGAAAAGGAATGTTTTTTTACTCTACCTTCTAACAAAACATTATGGTATTTAGTGATTTTCAACATTATATTTGTGCCATTTCTCTAATATAAGATAATCAGTCACATTCAAAAAACAAACAATAGTTTCACACAACAAAGCACAGAACATAAGGATTTACAACATGTTGCTCTTAATATCAAGCACTTTCCCAGAGGTTTGTTTGTTTGTTGAATTTCGTGCAAAGTTATTTGAGGACTATCTGCAGTACTCCAAACTATTCCACATTTTTAGTGGAAGTGCTCTAGTGGACCCTCACTTCACTTACCAAATTTTAAAGCAATCCAATTAGAAACACACGATATAAAATTTTCAATTCTGATTGAATTTCTTCCTATTTTTCTTTCTTCTCACCAATCACACTAAAAAGTTATTTGATAAAAAAACATACTTAACTTTGATGGATTTTCTCCAAATTTGGTACACTGACAGATGTTTATAACCTACAATTAGATGTCAAATTTGATCTTAATACACTCCACATGTGCATAGTTATTCAACAAAAACTGCTCAATTTTGAACAAAATTTTTGCATACACCCATGCAAAAAGTCACATGAGCTATTGGTCTGAAAATTTTATCGCAGTTTCACCTAAGATAAAATGTGCTCTTTTTAGTTTTTTTGCCATTTCGATTAAAGATGCTTGATTTAGAGCAAAAAAACTATGATAGGGTGAAAGCACGTGCAGATATTGGTTAGGCTAAACAAACTAGATTAGCAGTTTCTAGCTCAGGCTTTCAAAATAATCATATGGGTGGACAGTTATTATTCATTGCCAAGTTTTAAGAACATATTTGCTAAATTTAATGACATTCTCCTAATTAAAGAGCATTTAGCATCACTTGATATTAGCTTAAACAATTAGCATAAATAATTATGCTTGATACAGCTGTACTGAGTGCATGTGGGTGATAACAAGAAACTGTTAATCTAGTTTCCATGGCATTACTATAAAGAAAATTATTAACACTGTCAGTTTATATATATTCTTGAGAGAGGTATAGCAATGCATAAGTCATGACACAGCCAAAACAACCCACACAACAAACTGTGTGTTATTAAGAGGACTGATAGTTTAGCAATTTTCTACTTTCTGTAGCTCAGACTATGGTAATCCAAATTATCCCATATTTTAGTGGAAGTGCTCTAGTGAACACTTATTTCACATAGCAAATTTCAAGGCAATCCATTAACAAACACACGAGATATAAAACCTCCAATGTTAATTGAATTGCTTCCTTTTTTTTTTTCCTTTTTTCCTAACAATCACAGTGAAAAGTTATTTGATAAAAAAACATACTTAACTCTGATGGATTTTTTTTCATATTTGGTACATTGATAGATGTTTATAATTTATGAAAGTCACATGAGCTATTGGCTTGAAATTTTTACCACAGTTTCATCTAAGATTAAAAGTGGACAGTTTTTGAGTTTCTTGTCATTTGGATTAAAGACGGCTGTTTTAGAGAGGAAAAACTATCACCATATATTTTAAAGAATCTGGTTGGTTCTGTAAAGTATAAGTCTGTTCCAAATAATAGGGTTGCAAGCCCAAAGCTAATGTTGGTTACTATCTGTGGCTTGTTGGTGTGTATTGACAAAACGTCATGATATCTAATCAAAACCACCTTAGATGTGAATAAAAGGTGCAGCCAAAAATGGATTGAATGAGCAACTTAAAGGAATGAAATCAAAATTAGCAGCCAAACTGATAGTTACACTTCTAGCAATGATAAGAATTTTACAGCAAATATTCATTCATTAGTTAGCTAGGCCCATGTATTTTGCAGCCTAGCTAAATAATAAATGAATATTTGATGTAAAGTTCTTAACATTGCTATAAGTGTAGCTGACAGTTTGGCTGCTAATTTTGATTTCCTTCCTTTGAGTCACAAAATCAATCCTTTCTTGGCTGCACCTCTTTTTCACACCTAAGGTGTTATTGATTAGTTACAATTACTTATCAATTGAGAGTTTATTTACTATTAAAGTAGCTTCACTGTATACACTATATTCTCATAAGGTAGTTTGTTTTACCCAAACTATTTTCTGAATCCTAGAATAAAGAAGCACTAGAAAGTTGCAACTGCTATAGCCTAGTCTTATAAAGGATATGATTGGATGCAACTGCTGTAGTCTAGTCTTATAAAGGATATGATTGGATCAGAAGTAACACAGTACATATACATTTTGCCAAAAGAACTGCTAATTCCTAATCCTTATAACGGCAATGATTCAAGAAATATACAACTTAGTTTAACACTTTCCATACAGGATCGGTCGATTTGAAAGACCTCATAACCATAAAGTAATCACTAGTTTCCATATTACAACTTTTAATATGGTAAGTGTATCTTTAAAAAATGTGGCAAGCTTACAGTAAATACTGCAAGTCTTTTGTACACAAAAAATCAAATTTTTTAGTTAAGTATTTTTACTAAAGATATTTTCATGAAAATACGGAGTCAGAATATTGACTGTTCTGAGTGCAAAGAGATTTTCATATTAATATTAAAAATACTTTTATTCACCTGAAAATTCTCAAATTTTATTTGCATATCCTCTAGATAAATAAAATAAATATCAAACTTTTTTCAGTACAATTTTATATTTTATCTGTTATTTTCTCTACCATAACTCTAAAGACTTTGTCAATTTGACTGATTATGTAACCACCATAAAAAAATATTAACTAAATCTAAATTACCATTATTTCTTTTTAAAATTACTGCAGATTGTAATAGGAACCTACATTTGTTTATACTAAATAGCTTAAGGCTTGAAACAGTATACATCTGTTTACACCTAATTTTATGGTTTTATTGCCTTTGGAACCATATCTAATGAATAATCCTGCCACAAAAGTTGTAAATCACTCAGCGAACCGAATTGGTAGCACACATTGTGGATCACACAAGCCGCTCGCAAGTATACCTCATGAAAAATTTTTATATTTCTTTCATTACCTTACCTAACAAGTTTCTAAAACTTACATTTTAGTTACTTTTATAACACTAAATAAAGAATATACATGAAAAACAAGAAATATAGTACTTACCTTTGGCCTCTTGTTTTTATGCTGTCTGTTGCCAATGAAATTTAAGCCTACTTTTCTTGTACCAATGAAACTCGTACATTAAATAATGCAACTAAGAATACAGAAAAATAGCCAGCATGAAGCAAACAATATCCTATAACTATTATAATTTATCTGACTTTCTAACAATGGCATAAGAGCCTTTAAAAATTTAGCTAAGCTTACTGATCTAGATACAGCAAGATAAACTTTCAAACTGAAGACCAAATAGACAATACTCTGTTCTGAAAATGACATGATACAGTACATCATTTAATAGATTAAGCTTTGTCTTTCTATTGGTTATAAATGATAACAGTATAAAATGTCAGAGAGAACAAATAGCAATTTGTAAAAGAGAAGATGTGACAGGTGGATGTGGCAAGTTGGTCTGGCTTACGACTTGTTAAACAAACAAATTTGAAGGCTATAAAAGTTATACATTGTCTTAGTACTATCTATATTATAATGAGTAAGTTACGTTAAATTCCACACTTCAGAGAGGGGTAAGCAAATAAATTAGAGAAGGAAGAAGACCTAGAGAACAAATGTCACGATTCTCATACTATGGGAGATTGAGGATTTTTGAAATATTTCTTTATAAAATTAAGAACTTATATAATACAAGAAAAGTACAAGATCCTAGTGAGAGGAAAAGTTTATATTAATCTATCAATTTAAATTATTTGTGGACTTTAAAAAGGATGTGTTGCACTGTTGGTTTCACTCAGAGCCAAAGCTCTGTGCTACTTATACCATCCACGGCAGAAAAAATAATTGTTGAGCATTTCAGTCATGCTAAGAGCTGCTCAACAATAACATACAGTAAATCTGCATTTCTATTCTTTAAGTTACATCACATTTTGAAAGGTGAATAATAGTGTAATTAATTCCTAACAA